AATATAGCCAAAACAACAGCATAGACGCTCTTTAGTGTAGATGCTAGGGGTTAAACGGATCGTAGTTGAGCCGTGATCCGTACGGACCAAGCCCCATGGTTCTGCACGCATGTGATCCGCGGATTAGTTGCTAAATTTAACCATAATAGAGTATAAGTTTATCATTTGTTCGTATTTACACAAGCAAGCGATTTTTAAACAATTCCAGAGAGAAAAGGCAAAGGGAACTCGATTTGTTACTTGCGCGCTGTTCACGCACAGCCGCACACGCGTTTCAGACTGCCCGCGAAAACACAGAACTGAATCCTCTTCTGAATCCTCTGAACAGACACATACACAAAATTATGACAAAATACCCATTTCGACAATCATTCAGGTAAACGCAGTCAGTTATATCTCAAGTGAATGAAAACAGCTGAGAAAGAAATGGATGTGATGTGTATCATTATATCGGATCCGTGCATCAGGTCTTAAAGGGACAGCGGCCTATAAATATAAGTCAATATACTGCAGTATTTCCTCTCTCAATCAGTAGAAAATATGGTTAACACCCGGTCATGCATGAAAAAAAATACCGTCATGTACCGTGAAACCGGTATAATTTTGAAAAATACCGTGATATACATTTTTGGTCATACCGCCCAGCACTACTTTGAACCCCTCTCTGTAAAAACAATCTGTAAAATTGACGGTATGCAAATGTTCTTGTCAGTCTAAAGAGATGCATTAACAGCCGATCATTCCAATTTAATATGTAATCGCACCGAATATTTGTTTTGTCGAACAGGCCTTCAATCTACATGCACACATACAGAGCTAAACTTTCAGCATTACCATCAGACAGTATAATATCCTTCATGATTAAAGATCCTGTTCCTCCAAACACTATCTGCATCATGATGCTGTGTATCAGCATGTGTTCCTCAGCAACTTCAGTATAGATAAAAATCAGTGTGTACAGTATATACTGGGTGGGACACTCGCATGCTGAGCCAACACACACACAGGCAATCACACACAGACAGATATGGAGCATCCGAGCCGCAGTATGTGTATGGTTATGTAAGAACAGATGGTATTAATTAATCATACCTGCAGAGACAGCAGTGTCTAAATCACTACAGGAGATGATACAGCACTCTCACTCACACACAGCAAGAGAACATGGAAGGTTCACACACAGCTTGAGCAGTGAGGGACAATTATGACAAAAGCTCTGAACACTTCTGCAAAACCACAGCACCCAGATTCTACCAACACCATTAGATACACCACTCCCTTGCATGCTTAATCCCCTCAATGGCTGAATCTTTACTTCCCTAATATATAGTAGATGAAAAACAGTATGTGAAAAGAGTAGCATGTCCAAATTCACATTAACTGTAGGGA